GATATTATATGTATGCAACTACAAATAACACATAACCTCTACCTGCTTTTCTTTGAAAGTTGAAAGTTGAGTGACTTGCAAAATAGTCTGCATCAACCTTTACCCTGATCACAAAAGGATGAAGACAATAGATCTAAAGCCCGTATTTGACCTGTACGTTTGACCTTTCCACTTGAATCCGCACTTCTTACCCCTCAGAGTTCTAAAGAGCGGCGCGGTTTGTTTGAGTAAATGCTAATCCCCGAGCTACCCCTGAAGCGACCCGACCGAAGCGACCCCCGGAGTTGTGTGGCCATCAGTTTACGTGGTGTACTTACTATGAGTTGTATGAGCTCACAATGGGCGCGTCCTGGGAGTGCACACATGCGCTGAGAGCTTCGCCCTGGACTGAGTGCCACGCAGAGCTGCGTCCATCGGCCGGAGCTGGGGATGAAGTGTTGACAGCGCGGATTATCTCTGAGCTCTCTGAGAGGCCCTCTCCATTAGTGAGTGCTTCCTCTAGGGGATAGTGGGGGTGGGGGGGGGTAGTGTGTGTTCTGTGCGTTTGTTGTTGTGGGGGGGGGGGGGACTTGGTAAAGGAAGGAGGATCACCCCCATTAACTGACCATCTGTGAGTTGCACTGTGGTAAACTGCGGAAGAATGTGAGTCATGCACGCTATGACAGGTGTGAGCACCCACAACAAAATTAGATAATGTGCTTGACTTTTCAATCAACTCCTCCTCAGACACCGAAGACTGTATCGTTAGCTCGGGACTATGCTGGACTAAAATGAGTTTGAGCATGTTTCGAATCCACGTTGTTCTTGAACATGAGTTTTTATGGAGATTCCAGGACTCTCCACCCACTTGGCCGAACTCTATCGTGTTACCGTTGGAGATCCCGCCTCAGATATAGTCTACTTACACCATACTTTGAAATATACAATTCCTACATACTGAGATAATTAACATTACTCACATAATAATATATACGCTAAACAGATGGCAACAGTAGGCAGACTATCCTTGATTTTAGAACAATGAATATAACTGGTACCTTCTGTCAACATACTGCTACCTCAGAATTACATAGTTCTAACTGACATTTTTGGCCGTTTTGAGTTACCAAGACCATGAGATCAGACATCAAATGCTCCATCTGCTTTATCAACATATTCAAAGAATTGCATTTTAAAAAGCTTGACATGTTGTGAGGCTCAAAATTTTTTATGTCAAATTTCTCAAAACTAGGTACTGAGCAGATAGAACTTTGTAATTCTAGGGTAGCGATAGATCTACGTTTACAGCCACATCCTATCACGTCCCCGGGTTCACAGTGCAGCTGAAGCAAACATCACCAGCGGTCTCCTTTAACCTTACTTTACAACTACAGATACAGCTACTAAAGCTTCAAGCAAATACTACGTTTCCTGTGACAAACACCGTATCATAGTTTCGAAGAAACGAGTCTTCAATTCCCCCAGCTAACCTCTGAACGCATTACATTTACAACATTAATTATTCAAGGGCCCATTAAAATATTAACCGTTAATATACCGGAGTACTTTCGTTCCCTTATCCTTTTCCGTGTATTGTTTTTCTCTTTCTTCCTTTCCAACTCAATTTCTTGTAATTTTTTACTTTAAGCTTACGGGCGCGGGGGGTGG